AATGTCTCATTCTAGCACTCCCCAACCTCTTTGGCACCAGGGGCCAGTTTCATAAAAGACAATTTTTCCACCGACTGAGGTGGGGGGAGATGGTTTTGGGATGATTCAAGAACATTACATTTATTGTGCACTTTATTTCTATTATTATTACATTGTAGTATATAATGAAATGATTATCCAACTGACCATAAATTGGGGACCCTTGCTATAGAGGATATCAGGGACTTAGCCAGAACAGTACCAAGGGCAATAGAAAGTTATTATTCTCTTGTTTATTTCTGCATTATTTATGTTATTGAAATGGATTTAGACATCTGGAGGAGAGTCTTAAGTCCCACGGGAATCCCAGAGCGTAGCCTCAAGCTCTGCCAGATGAACGACAACACAGCTGTGTGTTCTCCAAGAGCAACTCTCATGAGACTGCCAGGTACTTGACAATAAGCCTGACAAAGGGGACTAGAAACACCCACATTATTCTGATAACTCTTCCTGGGCCCATATGATAGTTTCACATTTCCTCCCATTTTTAAATTAAATGTATACATCTTCTTTATTTCTGAGAAACTGCATAATTTCCATGAGACATTCCAAAATTTCTGCTAAACAGCAAGCACCTCACCATCACATCACCATCCCTCAGAAAATAACTTCCCACCATCTAGCATCAGGAAGCCCAGAACCCTTTTAGCTTAGAATGCCCCATTGTTCTTGTGTAGTGTTAGGGAATCTTGTGCAGTATGCCAGGCCCTCGCCTTCCTCTAACCCTGTACTGTGGTGATCCTTACTAAGTGGAAGAAGGAAGGGCTAGATGGGACACAGCTCGATATTAATCTCTTCAGTCTTCTCAATCCCTGTTTCCTAAGACAACACCAACAGAAACTTGTAGTAGGTGATGATCACTAAATATATTATTAAGTTTCAGATACTGAAAGACATAAGACAAAGAGCTCTGGTTCTGGTTAATGGGGAAAAAAACAGTTTTAAGACACATCAGACTCCCAATAAATATCCAAAAGAAATTTCATTCACCTTGTTCTATGACTAAGCCCACTTGTTGACTCATCAAGGATGACAATGCTTGACTTGATAGTATGAGAACAGGCACAAGGACAGGAGGTAAGAAGAGTAAGATAGACAGGGAACCGGTAGACAGTGGGCTTCTGACCTCTACAAAACTACATAGCCTGCTCAATGGCAAGGTTTAAGTTCATCCTCGTGTGCCCCATAAGATTGGATATCTTCCACTGTAGGTAAAAGCATTCTCTTATAAATACAGTCTCGTAATAGAAAAGAGCATCAGGAAATTATTTGAATGGCTTCCAAAAGCTGCAGTGATTGTTATCCCCATTAAAATATACTGCTAATAACAACAAATATAAGAAAATGCATGAGGATTTGATTACTCTGTGTAGCAATACATGGGATGTCTTGCTGATGCTACTAGAGGTATGCATTCTGTTATTCCTTCAAATAAGGTTAAATGAATTTTATTGCTTTACAGGCACCCTAAAAATTACATCAGTCATCTTTTTTCTCTTATTATTCTTTCCTGTCTTAGAGATTTTTATTGAAATGAGAAAATAATGGTTAGTGACTGTGATCATTAGCTTGCAGAGGTTGGCTTATGAAACAGATTGTTAGTGCCATAAACACAGGCCTAAGAATTCTATCATCCAGTCCCTGATGTGGCATGACAATTCTTAGGGAATAGCTTATCCTAAATAGTGTTTGCTGTTATTCATAAATATACAATGACAGTGATCCTTAAGTAAACTTCATCCAAATCACTCAATCCTGTGCAAGTAATGATTGTACACCCAGTAAAAAGCAGTGAGAGGCAGCTGCTCTACACGGTTTATAAGATTAGCTATTATTTGTATGCTGCCTCACTAACCCTCCAAAATTAAAAGGCTAGTCTCCAGAATTGGGAAGGACTAATTCACTGCTGTGGAATTTCCAAATTTCCAAGGTTAAATGAGAAGATAAAGCAATGATATCAGAAAAATGGTATGAGCAATGAAAAGGAAAACATGTTAGAGGTTTGATGAACAACATAGTTTTCTCTCAGAATTTGTAGAGATTATTACAAAAACTAAAAAACTATAACATTTTATAGTTATCCTGTGGAACTATAAAATGAGTACATGGAAATACATATCTAATTCTAGGATAAAGATTCAATACAGTAATTATAGCATTTATCTATAATGTTAGCACAATCTCAAAGGACCAAGATGATCCTAAATTTTATATTTTAAAAAGCATGTAGTAAAGTCAGGACAATTATAAAAAAAAACAGAATGGCTTTTATCAAAAAGTCCAAAGACAATAGATGCTGCAGTAGAAGGAGAGAGAAAGAAATGCTTACACACTGTTGGTGGGACTGCAAACTAGTACAACCTCTAAGGAAAACAGTATGGAGATACTGTGAGATTCCTGAAAAGACTAAAAATAGATCTACCTTTTGATGCAGCAATTCCAGTATTGGGTATTTAGCCAAAGGAAAAAAAATAATTTTATCAGAAAGACACCTGCATTCGAATGTTTATTGCAGCAAAATTTACAATTGCAAAGATGTGGAATCACCCCAAGTGCCCATCAATTCACGAGTGGATTAACAAAATGTGGTATATGTATACCATGGAGTACTACTCAGCCATAAAAAGATGAATTAATAACTTTTGCAACAATCCGGATGGAACTGGAGACCATTCTCTTAAGTGAAGTATCACAAGAATGGAAAAACAAACACCGCACGTACTCACTATTAAATCGGAACTAATTGACGAGCACACAAGTGCACAGAGGGAAGTAAAACTCAGTGGAAGCAACCAGGAGGGAGGAGGGAGGAGGGAGGAGGGAGGATGTGAGAGGGAATAAACCAACCTTATGGGTACTACGAACACTATTTGGGTGATGGGCATACCTATAACCAGGACTCGCATTACAAAAGTAATCCATGTAAACTTAAACATTTGTACCCCTTTAATATTTTGAAATAAAAAAGGATTTATAATTTTAGACCTATGTTTATGTAAGGTCAATAACTCATTCTGAATAATGTTTATATGCTGTGTAAGGTAGAAATCTAAATCAATTACTTCTTCTTCTTCTTTTTTTAATGTGAATATCCAATTGTCCCAATGGAATATTTTAAAATGACTGTTCTCTATTCTTCCCCCATGAAATTGTCTTGGCACCTTCTTCAAAAATCAACTGGCCATAAATGAAGGGCTTTTATCTGGACTCCCAAATGTACCCAGTTCCCAAATCTAGCCAATTGATGTATATATCTTCTCTTGTGCCATAACTACTTAAGTTTGTTTACTGAGCTTTGTAGCAGTTTTAAAATCAGGAAGATTTCTAACTTTGTTCTTCTTTTGAATATTTCTTATTCTTCCAAGACCTTTGAATTATGATATAAATTTTCAGTTAAGCTTATCAATTTTAGGAAAAGTGATCTGGGATTGTAACAGTGATTTTATTGAATCTGTAGATTAACTTGAGGAATATAACTGAGTTAGAAATGTAATGTCTTCTTATCCATGAAATTTGGATGCTTTTCCATTGATTTAGATCATCTTTAATTTTATTTAACAATGTATTATCATTTTCAGTGTAAAAGTCTTATACTTCTTTTGGAATTTGTTTCTGCTAAAAACCTTTCAATTGCTTCTTCAAATGTTGCATGTCCCACATTTTTTTGAGTAAAGATATTATAAATGTTAAAAAAATAACAATGAAAGGGAACTGGCACTACTAAATATTAAAACATATTAAGCTACAACATTTTGTATAGTTTATACAGGCCCATATAATCAGAAGAACAGTGAAAAAGAAAAGTCATATAAAGAGATGGTAAGTACCTAAGGGAATTTAGCATATGATAAAGATGAGTAAGAGGTAGATTATTTAGCAAATGTTGGAACTTCTGACTAGTGGTTAAAAAAAATGGCTGGATTGCTTTCTTATATCTTACATGTAAATAAAGTTCAGATAGAAAATAGAATAAATAGACAATCATACAAAAGAAAAATAAGAATCAAATAAGGACAAAAGAAAAATACATATTTTCTTAAAAAGATCTGAAGTGGAAAATTAGAACAGAGAACAGAGAAGCTATATAAAATATTGACAAATTTATGTAAAAATTTAAAACTTCTACCACATCTAAGTTAACATGAACCAAGTCAAAAAATATAAAACTAGAGAAACTGTTTCTAACTCATACTTTACTCTAAGGATTAATATACTCAATGCTATGGATAAAATGTTAAAACCATTCAATAGGAAAATTAGAAAACAACATGAACAAATAATTCATAGAAGCATAAAACAACAAATATTCAATTAACATAAGAAAAATGTTCAAACACTCATAATTTCAAATATGTGGCCAAAATGACCATTTATTCACATCAAAATTGTGAGAATTTAAAACTTTGATATCTCCTAACCCTGAAGAGAAATAAACTGAAGCACTAGATACAGTTGGTGGAAGTTTAAATTGCTCCAATTTGTATAGTCTTTGGCTATATCTATAAAAATGTGAAATCCACATTTCCTTTGACCTAACAACTCTTTCTTCTAAAAATTTGTCCTACAGAAATATTTATGGATTTTGCAAAATATGTTATAAAGAGGTTTTTTGTAATATTCCTTGTAATAGAAAAACTAAATAAAACAGAACAAACCATACAACAGAAACAAAAACCATGGAAACAACCTAAATCCATAAAAAGAAAATGATAAAATCAGCAGGCAGTGATTAAAATGAATGAAGTAAGTCTATTTACAATGTGTGCTTAATGTCCCAGTGTCACTGTTGTGTGGGAAAAAAAATCAAATTATGTAACTGAGTACAGTTTGATCCCATTTCTGCTTTTTTTCTCTCTTAAAAATATAATTTTTTTATTACTTCATATTATGGGAGTACAAATATAGTTAGGGTTACATATCTTGCCCCTGCCTGCCCCCCCCCCCCGGCTATGCCAGAGCTTCTAGCGTGTGGAGCCTCCAGGCGGTGCTCACCGCAGCCACCATGTAAGTACATACCCTTCCCCTTCTCTCCTCTTCCACCTGCCCACTTCCCGATTACAGATTTTTAAAAATATAAATTACATATGAGTTTATATAGAAAAAGGAAAGCTAAATAATGCTTCTTTTCGCTTATACAATATCCTTGACAAGTAACATTTGGGACCCTCCAGTTGCCTCTAATTTACAATCTAAACTTTAAGGCCAACCAATAATTCTTATTCCCATCTACCAAAATCTAACTTACTCAGCTTCAAGGACAGCCTGTTGAAGTCTCCTAACTCTTCCAAGTATTTGTCTTATTTAATGTTCCCAGGGACAAATGAGAACACATTACAAGCAAGTAAACAAAATGAAATATTTATGTTGGAAAGCACCTGAGTGTGATAGATCAATGGATGTATATAATGGCTAAGACATCTAAACCACAGTCTACAAAGAACTGCAGTTTTAAGTACATAGGTAAATGAGTAAAAAAATAAAATCCATCGATTCCATCAATATATTAATCCTGGTGAGTCTTTCTGTACAGCTCAGTTAATTCCTAAAAATCAATCGTGTTCAAAGGTGGAGATTCTAAGAGGCAAAGAACTTTCAAGCAACATGTGCTAGCATGTATTACTTCAGTGGCACCAAAAAAAGACATTTGTTAATTTAAAGGGATTATGGGCAAAGCTACAGGGAAGTCAGTCCATCCTGCTATGCCTTAGGTCACTCCTATTGAGAGTGGAACATAGGGGATTTGTCCCCTCCTTGACAGGGTGTTGCTTATTACCATGTCGGTGCTGTGTTTATCCCATGTTCCTATCTGATCTTCCCAGGCAGCATACATTTGCCATAAACTTGTACATTCTGGAATATACAGGTTCCAAAATTTTCCAATTTTCTGTCTACTAATTTGGACAAGTTACTTAACACTTCAAACTATAAAGTGTACCATAATCCTCTCATCTATAAAATGTACCATAAAGCCTGTGTCCCAGGGTTGTCACAAGGATTAAATGATATGAAGAATGTAAAGTGCTTAGTATGGTGCCAAGCACACAGTAAACACTAGAAAATGCTACTTTTATATTCTTACCTTCCAATCCTTTGTTTAAAAATGGCCATTTAATGTGGGGTTTGTCTGCTGTCTTTTCTTTCATTCCTACACCTACCACCTAACTAAACTAATTCCTAAACATGACAATTGACACAATCTTTACCTGTATGCCCCCTTGTGCTGTTAGGTATCCAATGGTCTTATCAATCTCCCATAACATTGTACACAATTACAATGTACAGGCTGCACATACTCTTCTCTTGGTTTTCTCTTGCCAGTGTTTAGTACATGCACAGACAACAAATGTGCAATGAATGTTGTTGCCTTAGCTCTCTGACAGCTGAAGAGATACAGCACTTCCAGGTTGTAATATTTACTGTCTGCATCATACAACTGAGTAACTAGTTAACCAACCATCCAAGGAAGAAAATAACAGGCTGATCAGAACTTATGGTAACAGCTCCTGTGGGTCGATTTCGGAATTCACCTTCTTACTCAGTGTGTTTAGCTACTTCTATAGGAGAGACACTCTGTGGCTACATGTCATAATTTTTCTTCAGTATATGGGCTGCTGTACAAATAGATGCAATCAGCAAGAAAGAAGCTGCTTACTTTCTCAAGCTTGGTAAATACCATACCAGGAGATGAGTCATCTTTGCTAGAAGATATATAACAAAACAATCATAGAAGGTTTGCAAGATAAATAAAAATATCATAACTGGATGTTAAGGAAATTAACCTGTATAGGGCAACAAAAGAAAACTCGCTGATTAGGCCCATACTTACTTTAATTTATACTCAGTTAACCCCAGTTAATAAAACAGATGAAGTACTACTTTTCCTTATGGAAGAAGTTCAAGCTGATTTTTTAAGGAACCATGTGACCTGTCCCATCCTAAATTACCATATCAAAGAAGTAAATTAAATCGCAAAACTGGTATCTGAAAATGACATCTACAGTTTTCTGCTGCTGTTTATTTAATTTTTTTTTTCATTTTGTTTTATTTTATTTTTGCTTATCCCCCCACCACCCCTGCTGTTGACTCCAGAATGTTTAAATATAATAGAAAGAGATTCCAGGAGGCCATCTGGTTGTAAGAGAAAGACAAAGGACCAGCCTTGCAGTTGTCTGAGTAAAGCAATCACACTTTTTTGCTAAGACAGCAGGCACATTTGGGGGGGGGTGCTGTTAGGAGGCTTTCTGATGGAGAACCCAGTTAGCCACTCTCTGGTACTACCACTGTTATTTTAAAATGCTAGAGAAGCTGGGATGGATGCAAACTAACTCTCATAAGAAAAGCCTATAGCACTGTCACTATAAAGGATCCAAGTGGCAGCAGGTAATCCTTGAGTTGCCTTGGGTAATTCCTTCACTATACAGCTAAGTTTACTCACCTGTAAAAGAAAGGAGGTGGACAAAATCAATTCTAGTATCCTGCAATTCTTTTATTACTAAAATTGTATCAATGTTTAGCAACTGGCAATATTTTATAAAACTAAATTCTCATTTTGGACTCTCTGTTTCCAGCAAGAAGAACATACAGCAAAGTTCATGTTGAGAGGTAGCCTATATGCAAGTAAGCGGTACAAGGCAGTGGAGAAGAGCTCTAGTTTTGTAGGCACAGGTCTGGGCTCACAGTCCCGTTCCACCACTCCAGTTGTGTGACCATGGATAAGTCCTGCTGTCTAGCCAAGCCTCAGTTCCACCACCTGTAAAGCAGAGATAATGGTCTCTACTTCACAGATTGTTGGATCTGGGAGGTTGTAAGTATTGAGTATTAGTTGCTATTATTAAGAAGCTAAACAGAAATAAATGCAAAAGCAGCTGAATAAGGGATACATTTATATATTATAAACCAGAAAAGACCTTTCTGGTGGATCAGTATTACATTTTCATAAGACATTTCACCCAAGTATGACCACTTGCAGGTTTGTATTGTACTCCTAACCATTTAATATTTAATAATTAGCAGCAAAGTTATTGCAGTAATATTCCTCTAGAAAGATTCTTTTCTCTTATAATTCAGGGGTGGGGGGAAGTGAATAAAGTATATGTCTGATTTAAAACTCTTACCACTTCACACATCAGACACTCGTCTGATTTCTTATTTAAACTGCAGTGAGGTCACACTCCTGGGTTTGTGACATAGCAGCAGGTTGCTATGGAGATGATAGTTTTATCAGCAACTCTGCTTTGCAATGACTTCACAGCAAGGTTACAATGAAGCAGATGGGCTGTGAAGAAGATGAACCTCCTTATCTAAACACAAATAGCATTGATAATTAATTAGCTGAAGCAGCAGGGGAAATTATGAAAATGTGTGGAAGGTAAAATGACTTCTATTTATTACAGATTTGATAGTTCTACTCCTCTCACCAGAGGAAAATAACATTGCTCCCTGCCTTGGGAAGGTTGTGTGATATACTGACTATATATAGCACTAACTAGTTTGAGTTTGTTTGGGTGCACTTTCTAGATTCTGATTTCTTAGTTAAAGTAGCAAAATAAGTATAATAGTAAGTACTTTGAGTGGCTTTAAATGAGGCCTCGGAATTTCTATTATTCTTGCATTAATTGTGATCAGTTTCTGAAGTTAGCTAAATTCCAGGTGTCATTCAATTGATGGGATTGGGGAAGGGGTACAAATACTTTCCAGTGTCTCTGAAATCATATTATGGCTCAATCTGGCATTTAAGAATCTTTAATGATAGGATTATAGAGCTGTAGTTACAGAAATGACTTTGCAGACTGTCTTTACCCACAGTCTCTGAACAACTAGGTTCTTGAGATGCTTTCAATAATCAACTCATAGTCATCCAAAATAAGACTGCATAGTTTCATATGATTTAGTTAAAATATCACCATCCTATACTTCAAATTGGAATGTAAACTCAATGTGGTAACACTAAATTATCACAATCTTCTGAAGCCATAATTGGCAGCTCTTTGTCTTAGAACAGTTAAAAATGGGAGAATAATTATTATTTGATTAATGTAGTATGTTGGGTATGAAATTTTCCCAAACATAGGGTCTTGATAGGTTTGCATAAGTACACTTATGATGTTTGTACAAGGACAAAATTGCCTTGTACAATTTTGTACTATAGTCCAGCCTGGGATGCAGAGCAAGACCCCATCTCTTAAAAAAAAAAAAAAAAAAAAAAGGAAAGGAAAAGAAAAAGAAACACGTGTACAGTAAGGTTTAGAAACTTTAAACATTTTGCACAGTTAATACTTATCATGAGAGGTTATGTGACTTTTGTAGATGCCATGACAATGTAAATTATCTTCATGTTCCAATGAGCTGGCATACATTCTTACTATTTGATGTTTTTTGCCACTTTGTTTTATAAGTCTTGTTAAGGAGAAATGAGTATATTTATTCATCCCTTTCAATATTGCTTATTTGCTAAGTAAAATCTGTGATGAAAGCACATTTTTCCTTTGTAAATAAATAGAGGAGGACATAGCTATTCTGATATGATACCTGGCCTCCTTCCCCACCTCATCTGAAACACAGCGTCCGTCTATGTCTTCTTGAGAGAAGGCACCAAGGGGGAGATGCTATAATTACTTGTCTGGTGGGATTTTAAATTATGTGAGTATCTGTCTATCTACAAGAAGAGTGTAGCTATCCATTCTTTCCTTAGTCAGTGTATGATAAGAACTTTGGTAAGTGAAGAAAACTTTGAGATGGATTAAAATGAATGACCTGGAGAGCAAATGATTTATGTATACTATCTGATTTTCCCTGAGAAAATGACTAATTTCCCAAGCCTGGGAACAAAGAAAATAAAATCAACAACAAATTTCAAAGATGAAGCTAAAAACATTCCAGAATCTAAAAGGATATGTTCAGTCTTAGCCAAATGTCACATCTTTAACCCTTCCATCTGCTGATGTACATTAGAAAAAAGACGGGAAAAAAAAAAAACTGTATCTAGTCTGTTAGCTGGGTAATTTGATTTTCATGTGTTTGTGAGCTGGTGAGACATGCCTACCTCTCTGTGTGTGTAAGCATTGAGGCTAGCAATTAACCCTGTTCCCTTTAGCAATCAAATATGTTTTGGGATCTCACTCAAAGCCACCTCAGACTGAACACTATGCTAATGCCCGTGCTGGGCTTGACTAAAGTGAAGTCCAAAAGGCGGCAGTCAGAAAGGTGCGGGCTTTTCTCTCACAAACACCTTTATGGATAACTAATTAGACCAGGAAAACAAGGTGGTTGGAGAAAGTATTGAAGTGGTATTCAAGAAGTTTTATTTTTTCTTTTCTTTTCGTTTTCTTATTTTATTTATTGCCTGTCTATTGTGGTATAATCAAGAAATTTTCTTAGTATGAGATGCAAACATATGGGAAAACAGAAACTCAAAGAAAGATAAACAACACATGAAATATCACAGAGACTTTTTGTTATAAAGAGAAACACCTACATCCTCTTTAAAGATGTAAACCCAGATTTGGGGAAGAGAGAATTCTGGAATGGCTCCTCAGAGGCCCCTACCACAGTTGCTGATGATTTCTTCAGAAAATTTCATGAGAAAAGGGAGGGGGAAGAGGGTAAGGGTATATACATACATAATAAGTGTGATGCACACGCACCATCTGGGGGATGGAAACGCATGAAGCTCTGACTCGAGAGGGGATGGGGCAAGAGCAATATACATAACCTTAACATTTGTATCCCCATAATACACTGAAATAAAAAAAAATCTATTTCCAAGAAAAAAAAAACAAAGAAAGAAAAGAAAACCATATGCTCTGAGATCTTTGATCAATATGATTTTTCAGGTAGGTGGGCTAATAGAATCTCAAGTTTTAGAGCTTTAATCCACTTCCCCCAATAGTTTTGGTTACTGGACTGATAAGACTCTGGCTTCCCCCCTGCCTCTGAACTCCACAAACCAGCATCTGTGAGAGGCAGGAGTTGCTGGCTGGTGCCCAGCTCACCATCATTTCCTCCCACTGCAGTGCATCTATACTCAGCCACTTAGCTGCCCCTCTTACTCCATTTACAGAGGCTGGGAGAGAGACGGGAAGAAGACTGGACTATTCCTTAGTTATTCTTTAGAAGAGACAAAAGAAAAGAGACAAGTAGGCTGGTGTGAAGCCTTCCTGCTCCAGCTGTGTCCCACCGACCAGCAGCATCTCCACCACCTGAGTGGGTTAAAAATGTACAATGTCAAGCCCCACTGCAGACACACATGGAAAAGAACCTGCATTTTAACAAGATCCCCAGGGATTCATACACGAAAATTTGAGAAGCACCAGCCCAGATGTGTCTTCCCATTGAAAAAGGACCAAAAAGGGAGTAGCTCACAAATTGAAGTAAAGAAATTTTCCCTTGGAGAAAAATATGGGAAAAAGAGTAGAGGGCAAAAAGGGGAATCTATGAATGAGAAAGAGAGAGGAGAGAGAGAGAGAGAGAGAGAGAGACAGAGAGAGAGAGAGACAGAGAGAGAGAGAGACAGAGGGAGAGACAGAGAGAAGAGACAAAAAGATTCAACAACATAAACACCTCTGCCTAAGATTTTTCAGCTCACTCTAGATCTCAGCTGATATGAGTTACTCTCAATCCACCTCTAGGCACATCTGCAGCCTACCTCAGATGTTCGCAAAATGTTCTAAGAGGCAGGAAAATAGCCTTAACTTTTTTTCCCTAGCCCAAGCACTAGATTTAATGCAAGATTTCTTCCTGACTTTGCCTTCACTGGCCAAGAGTTAGAAAGTTCACTAAAAGAAATTCTCATGATTATTTGAAGCATGAATCCAGCAGTGTTTTTTTTCCAAAGGAAGTACAGATCTCTCTTAATCACTTGGCATTTTTTTTTTGTTACATCATCAGCAGAGAATTGTTGATTCTCATGGTTAGAAGGAATGTAAAAAACCAGCCCAAGTTCTTACCTGAAACTGGAATCACTGCCATAATACAGCTAGTCATTGTCCAGCTTTCGCTTGGATAGAAAAAATGAAAGGAAACTCAAAATTCATGTTGATATGCCACTGAGCATTCAGGAACATTGCAGCTACCTTGCTCATTATTTGAGAAGGCAACATTCCACTGATAACATATGCCACACTCCTTTTAAATCAGTCAGGCTTCTCTTAAAAACAGTCGAGCTTCAAAGCCATGGTTTAGGGAGGGAAAACGTCCCTTCATAACCAAATCCTTTTGCTTAAGTGGAAGAATATACAGTACTCATAAAAATGGCAATTAGAGCCCAGCATGAGGGAGATATGTTTCTCATAATAATGATAATATTGATAAATACCCTCTAAGATTTACTATTGTAGAGAATATATTTGTTATTGTTGTTACTACTATTATTATATTACTGAAAACAATAATAATATTAGGTTACTTAATAAGAGACTGGGACTTTGCTGTAACTAAGTAAGGATATGTAGAAAGGGCTCCCCAAAGACATTTCTTCAATTAATAAAGGAAACTGACAGATCTTCTCACAACCTACTACCAGGTATCAATTGATTGCCTCCTATTAATAACTATTTAATTTGCTTTCCTGTACTAATCATGTTGTGCAAATTGTTGGCCTCTGCCACATGGTGACAAAGTAGATGGAATTTCACTGGGCCCAGTTGTACTGGCCACCAGCCCCACCTTTACCCTTGGCCTTTGCCATCATTCCTTCCTGCCCCCAGCCCTGTCCTGCCTTCCTCCTGCCTGTAACGCGGACACAGATCTGGGCCATTTGTTTCTCTGGGAAGATGTTGGATGGCACTTTGGCAATGAAAGAGTAAATTGGTCAAACCTCTAGAGTAACAGCTGCAGGAGGAAACATCCCTTTACTATCTCATCGCTTCTTCCCATTCTTAAAGGAGACCCCTAAGCTCACAGCACGAATTAGCTTGGCCTCATTATAGACATAGATTTAGGATCATCTAAGGCCAAAATGGGTAGCTCAATGATTTAAAAAATATTCAAGTCACAGGAGCAGAAGAAATTGTACCAGGGTGACAGAGGGGGAACAGAGACGGGCAGTGAATATGAAGAAAACATATGAGTGGAAAAGAACATTGATATGTGCATGTTAGACACATGTTTAGACATATCAGGGAGCTCCAGGACACAGCCATATCTGATGACTGGGGCAGTTTCCCCAACTCCCCCACGTTACCCATAGTTCCTCTGTCTTGTTTTGTTTGGGTATGCTAAACTTTTTAGCATCTTGCACTGCCTTCATCTTTCTCCCTCACCAGATGGAAAGCCCACAAAGAAGCGAGCATGGGAAAGTATTCATGATAGTTGCATATCCACTTACGTTAGAATTTCCAAGTGTTTCTGGGGCATTCATACCTCTGCATG